GTTCTGTTGATTTCCGTAATGGTGATACTTGTAGATGCCGGTAAATATGTTATTTATTATCTAAAAGTTGCTTTATGAATCTAAAGTCAAAGTTTGTATATCTGGGGGAAATTTATCTTAGCTTTTTATTGTTGGAAGAGTCCGAGACAGAGGTTTACTGAAGGCAACTTTCTTTTCTGCAACATGGATAACTAGCTTAAACACATTTTAAATCATCTTTGTCTGTAAATAGTAAATTAACATGTAGTTCTTGAGACAAATACTTGATGATATAATTGTTGGGGGGTAGTATATTGAGTCAGAAATAAATAATGGCAACAAATAATATCAAAATTAAATTTACAGATTGTTCAACATATCCAAATGTAACAGACGCAAATTTTGATAAAGATTGCAATGGAAATGTAGTCATTACATGTCGAAAAGGTTTCAAGATGGTACAAGAGCTGGAATGTGTTGAGGAAGAATGGAGATATCAAAACCCAATATGTAAACGCACAGGTAAGATAATTTTAAATACATGAATTACAAATAAACAATATTAGCTTAAAAATAGCTAAAATATATACAACTTTTTACTACTGAAGTTAGGGTGATGGTAGGTTTAGGATATTATAAAATATATACAACTTTTTACCACTGAAGTTAGGGTAATGGTAGGTTTAGGATATTATAAAATATATACATCTTTTTACTACTGAAGTTAGGGTAATGGTAGGTTTAGGATATTATAAAATATATACATCTTTTTACTACTGAAGTTAGGGTAATGGTAGGTTTAGAATATTATAAAATATATACATCTTTTTACTACTGAAGTTAGGGTAATGGTAGGTTTAGAATATTATAAAATATATACATCTTTTTACTACTGAATTTAGGGTAATGGTAGGTTTAGGATATTATAAAATATATACAACTTTTTACTACTGGTTGTCTACCAAAGCCATTTTTGTTAGTAAAAATCTCACTATAACTTTGAAATGCAACTTTTCACCGATGTAGCAGGTCGGATACTCACTGCCTCAGAACCATTCCCACGGCTCCAGTTTTATTTTGTTTGATAAATTATATTGGTGATTTTGATAGTGGGTACCTGGTGTTAACAGCTTGAAGTTTTGAGAGAGACACTTGTTTTCCAAATTTTTATTTTTTGACATCGACCTTAGATGATGCTAGCCTAAAAACTCATTTTGGTAAAGAATTTAAATTGTATGTGCATTATAAGAGGAAGTATTCCTTTAACCTAGCGGCTCCTGCTCCTGTATCTCAAGTTTTGAGGGAGACACTTGTCATCCAAATTTTAATTTGACATTTTCATTTTGACATCGACCTCAGATGATCTTAACCCTAAGGATGTTATGTAATACTATAATTTTTATTTCAGAATGTAGTTACAAGTATTTGAATAAAACATGTTTAGCATCGAGTAACACTGACTATTATGATTACACGTCAACTGAAGATGACCTATGTGATGAAGAATGTAAATCTTTTACTCGGTGGTGTACCGCTTCATTAAATTCAGGCAATTATTGTAATCTTTACAAAGCTCCGATCATCTTTGGGTCATTTGATACAGATCTAAATCAATGCATTGAAAAGTGTAAGGAGAGGAGTGACTGTGTAACAATGAGCAGTTCAACAGTTGCAAACAAGAAATGCTTTTTATTTAACGTTACTGTTACGGCAGAATCGTCAATTTCTTTTGTTGAATTGCATTTTTGTGTCTTAAAAATTACTTGTTTATATATGGCCTGATTTCTAAGGTTTTATTGTAGCTAGGTCGCAGATCACATGTCAAAGGTCAAATTGTGCACACGGCCTTGAGCTAGTTTTTCTTGCCGCCATCTTAGGAAGTTAGACTAAACTTTTTGATATTTTTATTTTCGACCATAGTTCCTCACAAGTTGTAAGTTTTCAATTTATTTATGTATATTCTAATAAGGAATTCTTTAATTATGTTCTGTAGACATTTTCTGTTGGATGCCATGTGTAATTATTGAGAATTTGCTCTCAAATGTACTCAAAGGAATTTC